GTCCAGGGTGGGCGATTGCTCGGATGGACTGAAACCGCCCATGTCCACCCAGGGTGATTGCGCAAACTCATTGTCCTGCGGATGTGTGCTTTCCGTATCCATACTGAAGGCAAGGTAGGACAAGGAAAAATTTGAAAGGGAAGAGGCAGAGAGACAAAGAGACAGAGTGAGAAGTATATCAGGGGAGGGGGGGGGGAGGAGGAGAGAAGGTGGAGTGAAAGAAGTGGTGGAGGTGGCACTGAGACAAGTGCTTAACAAAGATATTTGTCTATCAGACCCGGAAGGGATTTTAAGAATCCAAAAAACCGGGGAATGAGATCTGATCAATAGCTCTGAGAGAAAAAGCAATGATGGGTGGGAAGCCAGTCAAAGAGACGGTCTAGGGCCGAGACAAGGGGAGAAAGTGATGCATATTCAGACTCGAACTGGAGGAACGAGTGAGCTGCGCTTACGGAAGCTGAAGAGCGGGCATGTATCAACTTTCTAGAGCCACCAGATCTGCGCTCCCTAGACAATTGGCGTCTGATAGGATAGACTAACTACCCCGAGAAGATGACCAAGAGTTAGCTGACCCGGGAAGGGGGGAGGGGCGAGAAAAGAGGACGTCTGCACCATACAACTTCATATGGATTGGATAGACCAGGACGGATGGAAATTGATTCCAGTAGTAGAGGAGTTAGTCGCCTTCAAGCGAGAAAGCGGGTCAAGCGTGCGCAGCGGGTGGGTAAAGAAAGCATGGAGGTTTTTAAATGTGAGAGACAAGAAATAAAAAGGGTCGGGCCAGGGCACAGGCACCGCAGGGACGATCAGGGAATCGACCGGAGAAGCTCACAGTCTTAGCTTGTTGTACATCCCAATCAATTGGCGGAGAGGAGGAGGAGAAGAAGAAGAGGAGGAGGAGGAAGAAACAGAAGGAAAATGAGGAGGAGTAAGTAAGTCAATCAGTGAGTAAGTAGATACGGCAGGTAGAATGGAAGTGAGTGAGTGATTGCAGTAAGTAAGTTACAGTCTGTAAGTAAGTTGGTCGGTTCAGTACTAGAAGACCAAGAAGGAAAAGGCAAATGGAAAGAGGCGTCGTCAATGGGCAAGTCGTAAATTCATCAACGGTCCAGTCTCCGTTCGGGAGTACTTTTAGGTTTTCTTTTTCTTTTTCTATTCCTTTTTTTTTTCTTTCTAATTATTACTCTCTTTTTATTTATCCCGTTTATTTTTATTTCTATTTATTGGGTTGGTTATTATTATAAGTGAGTAGTAGTATTATTGCTCTAATTTGTTCCTCTTCTCTTCTGCACTTTATTTATTCCAGACCAGAAGACCAGACCTGCATAGTTCCATCCGTCCATCCATCTATCCATCTAATTCCTCATCGACGCTGCCATTTCTATCCATGTCTGTTTGCGGTCTATAGCGGTTGTCTGTATAGAACTAAGTACGGCAGATTTTGATTGACAGATAGTCAGGCAGCTTGAGCAACAACACGCGAGTCTGGAACCTCGGAGGAAAGCTCGCTTTGGAGCCATGGCCGATTCATATCTGGCCTGCCCAGACCAGTCAGGCAGTTCTTTTTTCCCCTTCTATTACCACCCATATGGTGTCCTTCTTCGCCTTCTTCTTTTGCTTCCACGGGTTGCAGCCAGCCAGACACGAGGACGCATGAAACCTAAGATACCTTAGGTATGTACTCCGTATACCCCGATCTGATTGATAGTTCCAGCAGGCCCGGAAAGCGACAAGAAGGGGGAAAAAAGAAAAAAAAAGAAGACATGCTGCATTGCTTTTCTCAATTGGCTGGTCAGCTCGACGCCAGTACTGAAAATGAATCCAATGCGAAAGAGAAGTAGTGGGGAGTCCGTGCTCTGATTGGAGGAGATCTAGATTGGAGGGACAGGGATCGACTCTCGGGTCCAAATACCGCTAGAGGTATCGCTTCCGTACCACCTCGTGTCAGGTAATCTCCGTAATCTTCAGTTCTCAAAGACAGTTGCTTATGCTCACTTACCGTAAGTACAGTACAGAGTCAAGCCCAGCTTCTCTCCTCTCGACCGGGTTCCAGCCATTCCTGGTCTTTTCGGGTTGCTTTTGCACCCACAAGCCCTCCAACCCTTCCCCTCCCCATCCTTCCCCTCCCCGTCCCTGAAGTTCCCTTCCCATTGCCTTTGATGTCCGGCTGAGAAGAGGTTGCATTCAGGCCTCGCTTGAGCTTGATCTAGCATGCTTCTCCGGCTGAATGTCCTTCTCCATCGTGGAGTAACTTACGCAGCATGACATGTTACACTAAAGGAAGGATCCAGGTATCCGAACCACCGTTTGTCGGTCTGCCGTCATACTATTTTAGGTAGGGATAATACTCACCCCCCCCTTCCTCCCCTCTCCCACTTCCAGTCCGGTCCAGGCGGAGCCTGCACTAAGTAGAAGGCATGACACCCCCTCCTCCGATTCCAGGTGGAGCCAGACTCCCAGACCATATGGCTCCCAAATCGGGTGTCTTTGGATCCAGTTAAAACTCGATGAAGGATAAAAGTCGATCAATTCGTCCATGAACAATCCTCCTTCCCGCTTCCATCCCTACTCTGGTCGCACTTATTTTCTGCCCGCACTACTATAAGATGTTGCGTTGAGCCCTGCTTTTGTACAATGCCTCCCGTTGGCCGGAGGGTGTTGCTTTTCCATTCAACCCCTGAGCCGAGGATACCAAAGATGGGAGATATGATCCCGCACACCGCGCCATAAGATAAGTTACGGTGGGTTCGAGTGGCTCCAGTGGATGAACAGTGTGTATGAGAATCCGTCAATGGCACAGAGGGGATCTGCCTCGGGACGCAAATCATGGTAGATGCCCCCCTCTCGTAAAGAGTTCTTGATCAACCATGGTTCCCATCGACGGACGGGGAGCGGATCGAGAACCGCTGAACCTAATTGCCCGCATGACATACAGGAAGAAGTCTTTGCGGGCCTGGGAGACGGCGCGGAACCATACTCGATGGTCTCTCACTATCGTCAATCATTAAGCGACGGCCTCTCAACGGCAGTTTCCTCCCCTCCCCGCCTGGCCGTCTACGTGGGTATCCTCCCCCCCCCCAAGAATACTGGTGGACTTTTCCCGCAGTGGCTATGTTGCTGCTCAATGCTGACCAAAAGCTAAGGTAAGATTCAGAGTGAAGAAGTGGGCCAGGGGTAAGTAGATGAGGAGGAGGGGGCCGAGAAGCAAGTCCCCTAGTCAGAGAGCACGGATCCTCGGGAGAAGGGCATTGCTTGCCCTGAGAAAAAGCCCGGGGAGAACGAGACCAATGGACGGGGGAAGCGGTAGGGAGAGCATCGTCAGTTCGCCTTCGGTTCCGAGCTTCTTAGAGGAGGAGGCCCCTCTACGGAGGAGGCAGGTAGGATTACCTGGGACGTGCCGGTATTGAGTGTGGGCTCTCCGGTACTAGCTCGTGTACAGTACTCCGTACAGACGAGCTCGTTATTGAGACGATGACTGAGCCGACGACCCATCTCATCCTTCAACCATGGGATCTGTATGGCAGCTCGAAAAGGTCCAACCTGAATCAGGACTCCAGTCAGAGCAGCAGAAAGGGCGATCTGCACCGTACTTTGTCACGCGAAAACCGTCAGGAGATACGGCGGGCGAATGATACGTCGTAGGTCGATTTCATTTCATCTACGGGATGCGTAGACTAGACAAGGGTCGTCATCCTATCACGATGAGCACAGACGGCATGGTTCGGCCAGGCTTTGAAGCAGGCTTGAATCGGTTCCTTCCCTTGACTGGGTAAAGTTCCGTCAGCACATGAGGTCGACAAGGAAAGAGAGAGAGAGGGAGAAGAGAGAGGAAAGTTAGAAAGAGGAAAAGAAGGGAGCTCTGACCTTTCCCCTCCCCCCACGGTCCACTTCTGGTACCCGCAGTGGTCCACCCCGGCCCGGCAACCTAAGCAATATCCATAAGTAAGGTATCCATGTTCATCGTTCAATACAAAACGAGGGATTAATCCAATCTCGATCGATTGATTGATTGGCTGGATGACTGATTTGATTTAATCACGGCGAGGTTGAAAAGAATTCAGGAGGAGGAGAACAAACAAGCCAGCCGAGGTCATCGCGATGATGAAGAATCACAAGTTGCGAAGTACTGAGTAATATTGTATTAGTCATGAACAATTGGAGCTGTCATATTGGCACCACTGACAAGGTTCTTATTTCTCTTGGGAGGGTGGATGGTTGAACGTGAAGATAGCGATCGGGTATGAATGATTCGAGGGTATCCCGATGGATAGCAACTCCTCCTAGTTCCGGTTTAGTGTTCTGGCCACTGCAAATCATGGCGAGCATGAAAACCTCTAGGCTCTGGGTTCATTTAGTACCTATCATCGACCCGCCACTAATGGAGGCAGGAGATCACTCAAGCTTACCTACCCACCACTCGAGATTTTCTCGAGTTCTTCGAGATAATACACATGTAATAGTAACAATCCCCCAATTGCCACAAATCTATCGAGTCTATTCCCATCAAATTGGCAGGTCTCCTCTGCAGCGTACACATGAGAAAAAAATTCTACCTAGCTGTACAACCCTCCCTCACTCCCTCTGTATACCCTAGATGGTCTCCACGGCATCCGACATGTCTTTCATGCAAGAGCAGCCTTACCGGGGCTTGCAATAAGACCGAATTGGTACCAGTGGGGAGGCGCAGAGTCCTCCGTGCTGCATCCTTGGTACCTAATCTCTCCAGCCTCTCTAGCCTCTCTAGCCTCTCTAGGCAGTTGGAGAAAGACAGGGGACGGGGGAGGAGAAAAGGCGGGAAAACGTGACTCTGAGCTGCTTGCTGGATGAGTCCGCCCCGCTTGTTCCGATGAGACCACGAGGGCTGCTGTCAACTGAGGGATCATTATGATGAACTACCAAGCGATTGTATGTAATACATGTTTCTGTATGACTGATCTCAAATGAAAGAAATTCCGTATAAGCTCGTACGTACCTTGTCAATTGACTCAGTTCCCATTCTTCCCCACATAAGGAATCGATGGCTTCAGCAGTTCCATGGAACCGGTCTTATTGTTCCAGTTGGTGGTACCCGATTCTGGTCACCTGATTGGCTTCCAGGTTACTGAGTGCTCGAGTGCTTACTCCCCCCAACTCCGTCCCATCGGCAAGAAATTATCGTGGTAATTTTGGCCCATTGGCGGGAGGTAATAATTAATTAATTGAGGAAGAAAAAGAAAAGGCACCACTTTAGACTGCGCACGCGCGGATCAAGCAAGCAATGCGACCATACGTCATTCCATCTCACAGTCCATTCGGCTTATGATAGACCATTCCCGAGTGGCTAAAATTCGGCGCAACCGGGGAAGGAGAGTCAAGAAAAGGGGCCTGGATAGGCAGGACAGCCAGAGAGCTCGGAGAAAGAGAGAAGTAGGCAAAGGGAGGCGAAAAAAAGGCAGAAAAGGGAAAAGAAGGGCGCTAATTGATATCCCAGGCCGACCTTTGATTGGCTCGATGGGATCTGCTGAGACTCAGGTCTCTGCATGGACAAGGTTGGGAAAAGTGGTGCGACGTCAGGCACCAAATGAGATCGTTGGAGGGCGCCATGATAGCCTTACCGTTCTACAAGGCCAGAGCAGTCGACATCTGTCAGGTACGGAAAGCCATTGCAGATGCCGGGAGGCTTCTGCCGTGTTCTTAATCGCATATGTAACGTGTGCCAGGTACTTTGCAGAAGCGAAGTCTCACTGCGACGGCTTGCATTGTTCTTTGCTCGTCTGGCCAGGTTGGGAGGTAGATAAAATCAAGTACTGGTGTATGAGTTTATTTTTTTCCGCTTCCATCGTCCGAATCTGTCCGCCCAACCTCCCCGGCGTTATAAGCAGCCACCCACGTCCCGACTGGAGATGCGCGCGATGGGTTCGTTCAAGGGAGGCGATTCAAGCCCGTTGGACCTTGAAACGGAAGTAATCCGAAGTCGCGGGAAAAAAAGATGATGACATCAGACAGTCAACTCCGCCGCCGCCGCGGCCGCCGCCGCAGCGGTGAGTTGAGGGAGGAGGAGATCTGAGGGCCAAGGGTGGAGATTTGCGAGATTCTGAGGAAGGGTGCAGTGAACTAGTTCCAGTCCAACAAGACTACTGCAGCCGATGTTGCCCAGATTTGACTCAGTAAGAAAACCGCACCCCTCCTCTCTTCCCAAACTGGCAAGGGCAATGCAAGAGCTAAAATCTCGAGCCCGTATTCGCGCATCGTGGGGTCGTCATCACCCTCCAGGCTCTTTCTTTTTGTGTCGGATTCAAGCAATCCGAGCATTTCCCAACTTGTCGGTTTGTAAATTCGACCGCAGAGCAGTTTCTTTGTTTCGCCCTTGCAGGGAAAGGGTGAGAGGTCGGCCAGCCCCAAGCCATGGCGGTTTGTGTGGCGGTATTCGGTCTGGACGACATCGGCGACATCCGCGGTACCCAGGATAAAAATGAAAGGGAAGAGATTGGAACGAATCGACGATGGGGAAGTCAGCAAGAAGCTGTTTGTTGCAAGACTTGGAAAGTATGTACTGTTTGTACGGAGTACAGTACTCTGTAAGCTTGACCAACTGCAGAGGAAGCTATCGGTGACAAATCGGATGAGAGAAAGAGGAGGAGGGGAAACAGATAAAAGGATATGCACTCCAATGCAGCCTCCACCAGCCCGGGGGATGGGAAGTCAACGTTTGTCGGTGCTTGATCGGTCAGCTGACCAGCGAAATCTCACCTCAGTTGCAGGCCACATGAGACCATTTGGGTACAGAACGTGTCTGAAGAAGAGGGGAGGGGAAGAGAAAGAGAGAGAGAGAGAGAGAGCATGGGTTCCCCACCATGCTTTGCCATGCTTTGCCATGCTTTGCTCTCCCTAGTAATTAATTGGATAAATACAGCTTACCTACGGCGGAGCACTAAGTTATTTACTACTCTTCATAGCGAAGGGCAAGCGATCTCGCCACAACAGCCACCCCACTCCCCAAGAGCTCGCATGGAGCACATGGAGGATGACTGCGAAGTATACCACAGAGAGAAGAAACACCAAGCTATCCGATGGCGACATGTACTCCGGACTTGGAATTCCCGGGAACTAATATCGAGGACAGCGTCTTTCTTTTCCTGGCGCACTCCCGCAGACCGCTTCTTTCTCGATAGTATATCCTGGTTCCCCAGGATTGTAGACCCTTCCCTGTCCTTCGAGTTCCCACCATCGTGCATAAGCACCCTTTGTTTCCAAAGGTACGGAGTACTCTTGTGATCTGTCCAAATGCACTTGAGTAGATCGAAGACAGGACACATGGAGGGGGCAAAAGCGCGCGCAGCCACATTTCTAGAACTCGATCTATATCTTGCATCATTGCTTTGGCTGCGCCCAGCAGAGAGGGAGACACAGAGGACCGCAAAAGTAGTACTGTGAGGGTAGTATAATCAGCGGTAGCATTAGTAGGTAGGTAGGTAGGTAGGTAGGTAGCATATGGTATCAAGGGAGGTTGAAGCTCATCTCAACTACAACTTCACCCAAAAGAATTGTACAGAGATCAACCATAAAGTAACCACACCACAACCAACACCGCAAATACAACTACCACTACAACATAAAATGCAAGCCCAAGTCCCAGAGCGTTTGTACTACAATGCCCATCCACCATCGTATTTACCCGAAAGCAACCTCTAATCTACTAGCATAATCTCATGACAGTTATACATCGACCGGTCCAATGGCACCGACCTTACAAGGCCAACCCATCATCCCAAAGCCCGAAACCAGATTCAAATGTTGTCACGAGCTTTACAGAACAGTACTAGACTCCGGTAAATACCTTACCTCCTTGATTTTCTTTACCATATCAGATCCCAGTCCAGCATCTAACCTAACCTACCCTATCCACCAACTGACTAGCCCCCCCCCCATCTTCCTAGACTACCTGGTGGTTACTCTGAACGCAGTCTCAAGCCCATTGATTGATCAGTTCAGATGATTGTCTATTATTCACTGTGGGTCTTTTTCGGGCCCGGCCGCAAGACGCGAAAGAAAAATCCAAAATTGACAGTCGAATTGCAACACAAATCAAGGAGGAAAGAGAAACAAACTCACCTACTCTACTCCCTGACTACAGTACTACCTTACTGTACCTCCCCGGCTTGAAAAATGGTATACAAGCTCGACCACCAAGTGATCGTTGGGGTCGAACGTAGCGATCCCTTTACATGTATAAAGTTCTAAATGGATTCTGGGGCTGATTATCCTAGATTAGGAGGGATGCACGGAGCATGAGCAGCGGAATAGACCTCCCCCTCCACCTCCAATCCAAAGCATAAGAGCAGACAGAATGCTTAACTTTCTTCCCCCCTCCCTACAATACAGTACATAGAAGATAATACTTCGTAGAAATCTGCAAGATAAACACACTTTTCCGACCCCCAACCCCTCCAATGCCTTCCTTATCTGCCAGGCACAAGATGTATAAGACGCGAAAGTATGCATCCGAAGATACTAGACACCACCCCCAGGTACCCTACCTCCCCTTCCCCTGATTCACGACTATATGGTCAAGTTCCGATCCCCACTTGGACATATTTAGACATATTGAATGATACATAGCCTCATTAGCTATAGGATCCGTGCTTTTTTGGGGGGGGGGGGGGAACGGAATTCGATCACCATATTTACGCATTACGTCGACGTTCCGATCCTCAGCTCCAGGCTCTTCCTCGGTCCTCACGTCCTGGCCTCGTTCAGTCTCGAAATGGAGTCTCAGACCCAATCCACGCCCAAAGAAAGAAAAGGGAAATCAAAAGCGTAAACACTTGCCCTCACGCCTCACGATGAATAAGGTAAAAAATCAAAGCAGTCCATCTAGTCATGCCCACAACGGAACAGTACCAAATTAAAATAATCAAACACCATTGGCGAAAAGAGGGAGAGTAGGTACGATCTAAGGCATAGTAGGCGGACGGACGTGCGTCATATTCACTAACGTTAGCCGAGCTAGTTGTAGCTAGTGTAGCTAGTAGCTACCTAGTTAATAGGCAGTTGATAGAACTAATACCTCCTTTTTTTGGGGCTTTGTTATTTTTTGATTATATCATTATTAGTAGTATGAATATCCTCATTTCCGAATACAGACTAAAGAGAAAAAAAAACAAAACAAACCTTGGCCTTGAGGTTTTAATTTTAGGAACGTCATTTCTCCTTGCTCACCACTGTCAAAGCGGTCCATCCGGGCCGAAATACTGGATGTAACTACCTAGTACACTACAGGACTAAGTAGTTGGTATCTACAGGCTGGGAATAGTCCTCAGGATCGGGGATCTAGAATCAATGCCCACCACCATTAAAACAGGATCACCAGAATCCTCACGAAAAGCACAAGAGAAAAAATGTGAAGTCTAATCAATCAAAGTCTCGTTTTAAGCTCCCGAGTGCACGTTTTGGATAGGAAGAACGAAGAGAGTAAAAAGAAATAGTAGATACATATCGACAGGTCCTAAAGTATTTGCTAATCCCCAAGAAATAAGTAAAATCCTAAAAAGAATTCCAGCTTATGTCCAGTCTTAGATTTTATCTCTGTCCAGTCCGTCCTTTGACCAAGCGATCAAATCACTCAGACATTCGTCTTCCTAAACCGGCATTGCGCATCAAAAACACTCTATCATCAGGGGCGGCGAAGGGGAAAGAAAAAAAAAAACTTCATCCTGACTCATGGTCCGGGCGAAGGTCCCTGACGAGTAGAGAGTTGATTTTCCCCAGGGCGGCGTTTGCAGACTTCTCCAATGCTGCCCGTGCGCAAATCCGGTTCCTTCCTCCTCCCCCAATCACAATTCCTATGGTCCATCTCACGGAGATCATCTGTCACAAGGGCCGGGCTCTTTCTTGAGGGCGCTTTATACTTAGCGGAGAAACACAAAGCTCTCCCCTTCCCCCCCCCCCCCTCTTCCCCTTAATCCACAGTCGATTTGTGTTGATCATGCTCGAGTGCACGATTCGCCACTGCGCTGCTCCGCTTAAGGGGCGGATCCTCTTCCAGGAGGGTTGACATGGCGTTCGGACTCGATTAGCGCTTGACGATGGACACTGTATTGAAACCACTAGAGTTAGCTTTGGAGATCCCAATATGACTGGTAAAAAGGAGAAGCACGGACCGATATCTTCATCTCCCAACTCGTGTGACAGACCGACACGCTGCGGTTGGTGCTTGACGGAGCGGCCATAGACGATAGCGTGCTTGAACTGGTCCTTGATCGTACGGTGAATAGCATTACACTGGTTTGCGCGTTAGACCGTCCAGACCCCTTCAGAAAGTGTTAATCATGTGGAGAATCCTTACGAAGTCCTCGACTGTGCAGGCGTTGGCTCTTAGAACGACGGGGGCCGTGTAATCCGGCGTCTTGCCCTTGGGCTTGGTGTAGACCCGGCGCAGGTTGAGTTTCTCCCACATCATCTCCAGCAACTCGTCAACGTTCCATCCGTGTTCAGAGCTAATGGGGCAGGCGTTGGGAATCCGGTACAGAAGGTCCAGCTCCTGGATCGTGATCGCATCGATCTTGTTCAGAGCATACACCACCGGAATGTAGGCGCGACTTTTGGCTTCCAGCACATCAATGAGATCATCGATGGTCGCATCGCATCTGATTGAAATGTCCGCGGAAGAGATCTTGTACTCGCTCATGACGGCTTTGATTTCCTGCGCTGCATCAGCGACTACACTGTAAGCTCCCCCCTAAATTAAAGAAAGAGACTTACGTCGTTATCGATATGCGTCAAAGGAACCGTGCTCGTGATGGCAATACCACCCTTGTCCTTCTTCTTGAAAACAATGTTTGGGGGTTGCTTATTGATTCTGATGCCAAACCCTTCCAATTCGTTCTCGATGATCTTCTTGTCGTGCAGCGGCTTGTTAACGTCCAGCACGATGAAGATCAGATGGCAGGTCTTGGCCACGGCAATGACCTGACGACCACGACCCTTACCATCCTTGGCACCCTGAATAATACCAGGCAGATCGAGAATCTGAATCTTCGCACCGTTGTACATGACCTGTCCGGGCACAGTCGTCAACGTCGTGAACTCGTAGGCGGCAGCTATATCACAAAGTCGTCATTGTCAGCGATTATGTGCTTCGGCCCAGCGCGACCCTCGCTATCGTTATGTAGGGACAAAAAAAAAACCAACCTTCCGAGTGCTGTCCCGTCAGTCTGCTCATCAGGGTACTCTTTCCGACGGAGGGGAAACCAATGAAGCCACTACCCCCGAACCATGTCAGCATAAGTCATTCGTCATTCCAACCACAAGTACTTCTTTCGATTCGATGGATAGATAGGACGTACACACTCGCGACACCGGTACGGGCAACATCGAAGCCGGCTGTAAATCATGGGTGTCAGTGTCAAGCGCTTCTCTCCACGGGAAGGCATAGGAAACACCACGACCACTACTTACCACCACCGCCGCCACCACCTCCTCCGGTCGGAGTCAACAGCTCTCGCTTCAGCTTCGCAAGCTTAGCCTTCAATTGACCTGCACGGTTCTCGTCAGCGCCCGTTCCGAGTTGGCTCCGGGAAATATCATCGCATCCTACCCAAGTGAAAGGCCGTAGCCTTGTTCTTCTGCGTCTTGGCCATCTGGAAGGGGAAACCGGTCAGTGTGCACATCCTGGCAGCGCTGTCGTCAAGCGAGGGCAGAGGGGGCGCGAACCTCATCTTCGATTTGTTTGATCTAAATCGAGTACCAAGCGTTAGCAGAATGCATTGGGAGCTAGACGGTTGTCGTTCAGGAAGCGAGATCCTACCTTTTCCACGGTGGTCGACATCTTGGCGGTTGGTTACGAGTTTCACCCCTCGTATGCGGC